TGCTTCAGATGTGTCAGAAGGCGAGGCCGCACTCTGCGGGCGAGGCGAGGCGGCGCGGGTCAGGCGATCAGAACTCGATAGTAGATCACAAAAAAGGCGGAAGAGGTTTTTCTTTTAGTGAGAGTTTTTGGTGTACTTGCAGCTTAATTAGGTTATATCAGTCCCAGATATTAGAGGTGTTAAAAGAAAGTAACAAATCCACGCAAAAAAGGACGATAGATGTTTGTAATTGAAAAAAAGGAGCAAAACCATACAAGAGCACCCGCCAAGCACACACGGAAAGAGGTTAGGCTACCAGAACCAGCCACACCAAGAGCGTGGGGTGGCGTGGCGTGGCGTGGCGAGGCGAGGCGAGGCGAGGCGACGAGAAGCGAAGCGAATGGAGGAGAATAAATTTCGACTGATACACAGTAGACGCCTATGCACTCACACAATATTGACAACACGCTGGCCAGCACATCTACTCACTACACGCATTCAGTGAGGATAAAAAGAAGGGAAAATGAAGGTAAGTCTAGATATCAACAGTTGTTTGTGATACAGAAGTGGAGCAAACTATGCAGTTAATTATGTTTAGTCTCAGTAAGATATTTAGTAAGATATTTATATTACATAATTGCTCTCTGTCCACCGTTCTCCTCAGTGGTATCTGGTGGGGGTCGGACTTGCAGCTCAGTTACGACCATATCAGTCAGCTAAGTAACAAAAGTAATACGACGAACAAAACATATTCCGAAAACAGAATCACAACACACGAAGACCCCGAGGCCTACGTGTGTTACGATTCGTACGCCTCGACCGAAACGAAACCAGGCCTTCCGACGGAGGTTATAAATAGACATAAGATCCTTGGCCTAGCCAATGATAGGCCTAGGCCTGGGCCTTCTTTGCAGTCAGGTCACCTTAATTTTATACGTTGCAGGCTGGCTCCTGCATTGAAGGCCAGCCACGTTCTCAGCGAGGCCAACGAGGATTAATGCGAAAACCGGCGATAGACCCATGCGCGAAAATGGGTGATGGACCATTCTCATACAATGCTTGTGGATGCAGATAACAGTGTAATGCGTTCCGTGTGCCGTGTACTGGAGGCCTCTCACAGCCTCTTTCGTTGTTTTATTCATAGCTCTTGGATGTAGGCTACACATGATGTAGACCCATTTATTTTCGTTTACATCTATTATTTTTACACTCAGTTCTAAGAATTAAGTTTGTGCTTATTGTCTGTTTTAGTGTTGATCTAGAGTAGATGTTATTTCATCTTGAACGTGGCAGTGAAAAGGTTTTCAGCTGGAATACACAGTCAGTTTCAATGTAACGCACCGTGAATGTGATCAACGTGGGATCGTAGCATGTGGGGCTACAACTAGATCTATATAAGTGGTTATATGCCAGCCTAAAGAGAGACGGCAAAATGACCATACACGATATTATATATATGGTTTTCCAAAAGATTCAGAACAAAGTGCAGTGGATCTAAAGTACCCCAAGCAGTGGAAAATGTCGCGTTTAATCATAATAAATAATATTAATATGGTAGTTTGCTCTCCGCCAGTGCTGGCGCTTGGGAATATGCAGAGTTCAGTGAACGTGCGGGAGAGAGAACCCGTTTTCGTCCCACAGTTTAGAATTTCGTTGAAGGCTCCCTGACACTCGACGTCGTCCCCCATCATGTTACAACAAAAATTGTTGACTGCAGTCGTCACGCTGATTCCAAAAATACAATAGATCTACGTTCTTGCAGTTTTATGAGATACGTGGAGATAATTTAGACCTACTGTTTATAATTTCATACACCACTTCCATGAACCAGGCTGGGCCTGTTGTTTAATTCCTGCACACCAGAGTTTGTAGCGATATTTGTGGCCTTTTACGTCTTGACAGGCGATCGTAATGCAGTAGGCCCTATGCTTGATGCTGATTTGCGCGGGCGGTAGAGACACAGATGTAGATTGCCCAATAGTACTTGTACACTTTTATAAACACTTCCTTCCTTTCAGTCTTGATGACTTCCTTGAAAATGCTCAAAATAAGAGACAGGGCATCATGTACAATACGTTTAGAATCAATGAAAGAAATGGCTTCGGCAAAATGTGTCTCACTGTTTTACAGTTGTGATAGGAAGATAATTCTAGGATCTAGATCTACATGTAGTTGTTTAGATGAGGATTTTTTTTTCATTTTGAATTTTGCATCCAAAAAAAGTTTTTAAAAAATGATACGCCCGGAACGAACAATTCACGAACCATCGGTAGGCGCCCAATTTGCTAAAGGAGACATGTATACCACTTATAGTTAAAGTCCATTCACTGCCTTGACGTGTGACTAATAATTTTTAATGAGAGAGAGAGAGAGAGAGAGAGAGAGAGAGAGAGAGAGAGAGAGAGAGAGAGAGAGAGAGAGAGAGAGAGAGAGAGATCAATTTTATAGATATATTTTGGATTGTATTCGGTTACATCAGGCCTATATTACAAATGTGGAGCGAAGTTAAAACATCGCAGGTGAAGCAATTTCGGGTGGAAACGGGTAGAAAAACAAAATAGATCTATGTGGGACGAAAACGGGCACACCGAAACAGGCTGGCAAAGTTAACAAATGGACGCCAACATTTGAATAGCCTAGATCAGATTTGTTGTATCTCTAACATCCTTTTTCATTTTATAACATCAAATAAAAACATTTCTTGTTGCTCAAACTGTGATTTGAAACAAGTGTATCTATCAAGTGGCACGAGCTGGACCTGCACTTACACAGATGATTCAATAATAATATAGCGTTCCTTCCCCTGTATTGGTGGCATAGTGGTTAGGCTACCGGACCTGTTATCGTGAGATTGTGGGTTCGAGGGTTCGAGCCTCAGCTCTGTCCGACGTGGTGTCCTTGGAAATGGCACTTAACACGAATTTCCCCCTTGGCTCGGTCCTTTCGGTGATGGACGTTAAATAAAAACTCGGATATCCCGCGCTCAAATATAACCTAACAGTGTTGATAGAGGGGGGGGGGGGGGCATTAAACCTACCATTTCAAAGATATCCTCAATTCAGTAAAGTTTTTACGCACGGTTTTCCGTGGGAACTGACATTATTCCTGGAAATACCACTTGTCATCTTTTGTTAACAATTTAAGACATGGGGGTAGATCTACGCGTATTTTTTATTGGTTCCGCCACCTTTCCAGAATGCACGAACAGATACATCATGCATAAAGCCCATGCTCCACACTCCCCACATTAGTGATTCTGATGTCATTTTTATTAATGTATGGATGCTGCTACGTGGGCCAATGCCAACTTTAGGTGATGGATTGCTGCTATAGTGCGGTCAAACATTCGTGATAGGACTTACATGTAACATGTATTTTTTCAAATATCTTCTCCACTACATGTATCGAACACAGGTTCTCCAATTTTTGCAGTTACTCGTATCAATTTGTCTTAACATATCAACATTTTTGTAAACATATGCCAGCTGTATTCTAGAAAATTCCTGAATAAATACTAATAAAAAATCCAAGTGAGTGATTTCTACAGATTTTGAAATGTTTACAGCTGAGGCAATATTGCTTTTAATAGCAAGTCCGTCAGGTTTTTCTAATCTGGACATTATACTTAATGAACGCATGTTTTGAGAGCCTTCAGGGTAAAAATGTGTTTACTATAACAATAATTTCTTGTAACAAGTTTTGCAAGTAAAAATTGTCTTTGATGAGCTGTGACGTAGGCTATATTATATTAATCAAAATGTGTGTAAAAAGCTGGAAGTGCTGTGAACAATACCATTTTACGTGTGAAGGAGATTTTAACTATTTTACATTATACATGAAGAAAAGTTTTTTTTATCTAGTCCCAATTGTTCTGGAAAATATGATTTAGTTAAGACAAATTGATAAAACTGTATGCAAAGTATAGATGACATTGAATCTCCCGTTAAAGAGATATTTGAGGATAAGTTGCACCTCGAATTTTTGACCGCACTATAGTCCTGTAAACAGGTGCAGAACCAGCGCACTTGCCTTGTGTTGATGAGCCTACTGAAGAGCTGTTTTTTGTGCACTGTGGTGTGAATGATAAATCAAGTTGACACCGGCTTTGCCTGAGAAGCCATTTTATGTGGTCACTTCTAAAATTTTTTTTAGTGAACATGACGTACCTCAGACCTATATTATATAGGCCCTACCAATCAGGCGTCGCCACTTCTCTCTGTACTCTGTAGGCTTCATGTATTTCCCGCCTGCTAACTGATCGTAGTCTATTCTAATGCTAAGAAGGCCTAGCCCAAGCAGGTTTTTGTTCCAAACGTCGTAATAATTGGCCAAAGCGTAACTCGTGAAGTGATCTGATTGGTGTGTGTTTAAACTCTCGTGATAATGTAGCAATTCCCACAACGTCACGAGATAAAGCCTCCTCCCCAACTGAAGGCTCTCTTGCACTGGCTGCGCGCGTTCGTTTGGCACCGGGTGTGCGATTACCGACTTGTATCTAATTATTGTTAACAGCCCATGTGGAAGCTATTGTTTTTAAAAGATAAAAGCCTGTTTTCACACCATTTCTTTAGTAACACAGGGGCTATCCATTTTATTTTACACGGCGCAAAGTTCGTCTTGCGCTTTTTTGTATATATAAATAGTAACCGCCTTCAACATTTCATATTATAATAATACTGTTTACGGAATCTCTGCGCCGTTTTTGATGTATTAATTTCACCTGTGTACCAGAGTACTTAGTACTATTACTTTCTTGTGTGGCTGCATTGCTTTACAGATTATATAGAGAGGTCTGGACTGTAATACAGGGTGATCCCCCCAAAAAATTACATCTTGTTTTATAAATATTTTCCTCCATACTGAAGTTTTGAATTTCGAATTTGAGCATAACGTTTGAAAGCCAAAAGGAATCTGTCTGATATGTATTTTAGATAAGTCCATAGAATGGTTTTGCTCTATATAGCGCATTTAAAAAACAACCCATTTTCAGCCTTGTCGCCATTTTCATAGCATGATGCACCAGTTCGCATTAGGCCTGTAGACCACTAAAAGTTGCAACGATCGCGCCTATATTGCAAGCTACAGCAGTCTAACAAGTCAACAGAAGTCTGCAGAGACTATTTTCCCCCAAATTTCGTTTGCCTGCTTAGATCACGGTTACGTTTCGTAAAGAGCAGAAAGCTTTTTGTTTTGAACATTACCTCTCCACACACAAACTCACCATCCCTGGCATTTCTTAAATTCTGCGCACGTCATGGAGAGAATGCTTAGGTACCCTCAAGACCTTTTGTGTCATGAGTTGAGAAGTTCCATCAGTTTGGATCTATAGCGAATCAGAATTAAAAGGTTCTTTATAAAATGACCACTTCAGGTCGAACACGCACTGTGCGCAGCCATTTAAACGTTTCCATTGTGCAGATTTCAGTAGCCGAGTCCCATGAGACGTCTGTCCGAGGATGATCTGCAGCTAGGACTTTCCTACACAACAACAGTCTGCATTCGCATGGCAGATATTAACCTACAACTCTACCTTGTTCCATGTTCATCTTCGCTAGGCCGAGATGACATGGATCAGAGCATGGCAAAGTGTTCATGATTCCTCGATTGTCTTGTAAAGGGGAATTATTTCCTCGGTGACATTTATTGATTTAGTGCAAAGTCCATTTTCACCCTGCAGGATATGTTACCTCCAAAAATGCTGTCTGTTGGGCACCCCACTCTATTGTCTCTAGAACCCACTTCTAGTGTATGTGTGGCTTTAAAAACTCATGGTTTAGCAAGTCTTTGTGTTAGGGCGCCACTGAACATTTCGGACGACGCGTTAAAAATGTGTCGAGTACAAAGGAGGGAATGTGGAGCATTGCTTCTAGGAATTTCAGAATGAAATCATTAGATTTTTTTTAAAAACTAAGGTATGTAAAAGACAGTAAATATTGTTTAAATGTCACAGGGATGGAAAATTAATGTCAAAGAGAAAATAAAGGAAAAGGTCAACTTATCTTTTCACGACTTCCTTTACAAGACTTTTACTTTTAAACATTGGTGAACTTTGCGTTTATTGGGTGTTTTTCCCCCCTTTTAGCCGTTTCCGTTTTCAAAACATGTTTCTTCTTCCTGGATTGTATATCAAACAAATTCCCTTTCAATGAATTATGTCTGTTCCAAATTACAGCATTTTAGAACAATTTTTGCGCGAGATGTTCAGAAAAAAAGTTGTAAAGTTTTTGTTTTTTTATCACCCTGTATTAGAGGTTTTTTTTTTTATTGATTGTGGAATCGAGCAGCTGCTAGAATCCGACTGTTTCTCCTGTTTTTTGCAATAGTAGCCTATGCGGAGCTTGACCTAGATCTATCTAGATTAAATGCAGTGACATTCGGAGAAAATAGTTTTTACATCAGCAACATTTGACGTAACTCTAAGCTTATTTGATCCTGTTACTGTTATCTTATTGAGTTCTGCAGTGTGTTTGCCATGGCTTTCTGTGTACATTACAGCTTTCTTTTGTTGTAGTACTTTTTGCTGTGTAGTAAGTACGAACTTTGTGAGTTGAGAGGAGCTGGAAACACATGTGACTGAACAATTTCGAGTGCATAAAAGGAAAATAACTTGAATAGATCTACCCTGCCTGTAAATATGGGCAGAAAATGTACAGTCTACAAGTGTAGATCTGGATATAGAAATCAGCCTGAAGATCAGAAGGTGGCTGTTTACAAATTTCCTAAAGAAACTGCAAAACGCAAAGCGTGGGCAGCCAGTTTGCCTAATGAATTGGAGTTAGAGGATGTCACTGATTTTATGGGTGTCTGTGCTTTGCACTGGCCTGAACATGTACAAATGGAACATACAACTGGAAGAGGGCCTCGCCCCGCAGTACCTCCATCAATTTTCCAAGAAGTGACGAAAACCGGTGTCCCCAGTGATTTCAAAAGGAAGCCTCGACCAGCTACGAAAAAGACCACCTCGAAATCCCGGGCTGTGGACGTTGATCCAATAGATGCATTTTTTGTTAATGAAAAGGTAAATTGTGACTTTCGTTCCCTCAGGCAGATACACTATTTTAAGGGTCAAACCCGGGTTTTTTATTCTGCAGAACACACACACACACACACACACACACACACACACACACACACACACACACACATACACACACACACA